AAATGTTCAATGGATATAATGGAAGTATGTAACTGATGATGTTCAGATAAGGCACTTAAAGGATCGAAACAGTGGGATTCTCTTCCGAAATGTTGTTACGGTTATTCTGTGAATTGGGGTAGTAAAAAATATATTTTTGCACCTTTAAACGCGCATTATGCACTCTTTACTATGCTAATTTATAATGAAGAAAATGACACAAAATACTTATTACTGGATGGTTTATGTCAACTGTTTTGTCAGTGAGTGTGCACCAGCTATGAAAACACAGGATAATTATTAACCAAACTATGCATTACCACATTTAAAAAAACTTCACATGTTATCAGATAAGTTCAAGCAAAAACAGAGGCACTAAGTCATAAACCGTAGTGCAAAGACTATTTGCAGATGTAATTAAAATTCTTGTAAAACAATGTGAGTTGTGCATTTTTCCTTTCTTCTTCTTGCAGCTCCTGAGATGTTGAAAGGGGATGTTGTGGGCCCTCCAGCTGACATCTGGAGCGTGGGTGTACTGACTTTCATCATGTGAGTTCTGCTTTCACAGCCTCCACCCAGCAAGCCCTCTTTAAATGTAATAGTTTTCTTAATGTGATATGAGCCTTATGATTGAAAATTTGGATGCTGCATTCAAATTTCAGATTTCAGGTATTTTCGATGTTCTGTAACTAACCTAATGAACGTTTGTTGTGCGTCGTCGATATGTTTTGAGGGGTCTACAACTGTTTTGTCAAGACTTCCCGCTAATTTTTTCCAGGTTGAGCGGCAGGTCGCCTTTCATGGAGAATGATCCTCAGGAGACTGAAGCCAGGATCCAGGCGGCAAAGTTTGACCTCTCTAAACTCTACCAGAATGTGTCCCAAAGTGCCTCTCTGTTTCTTAAAAAGATCCTCTGTAGCTACCCTTGGTGAGCTGAACATACATCCTTTTTTGAACTCCATATATTCTCATATGTAACTGAAAGTTAACATCTATCATTGCCTAAAGCTGTGACCTAATTTCACAGCAAAATAAAATGTTAAATAGATACAAACCGATCACTCAGTCAGTTCAGTGGCAACAACTTTTTCACAAAATAATGTATGGGGTCCATTTTATTCCTTTAAAACTCTCTAAAGTCTTTGAATATTTGCATCCTCACTGTCTGGTCTTTAACAGGGCCCGTCCCTCAATTAAGGACTGCTTCAATAACTCCTGGCTTCAAGATGCCTACCTGATGCGCCTTCGTAGGCAGACCCTCACCTTTACAACCACCCGTCTTAAGAATTCTTGGCTGACCAGCAGCGGAGGCGAGAGCAGGTGGCCACCAAGCACAAAGTTCTCCTGCGGTCCTACCAGAGCTCGCCACAAACCCCCACCAGCCCCGCCAAGCCAAATGTGCCAATTTCATCCACCACACCTGTCGCACAGTGAAAACAGGCTTCCAAACACCTGTCGATGGGACTTAAAGGGAAGGGGGGATTTCCTCAGACAAGACTTTGGGCTGCAGGGTGGGGTGGTCCCTTCAGGTTTGAGTTGTTGAACTCAAGAAATCTACAGAGACATCACTTCTTTTTCTTTTCTGGTTCTGAAAGAGAATCTAAAAGACTGTTTTCAGACTGGTGGGAACTCTTACAAGTTACAAGAGCCTGACTGCATTTTTTTATATGGTGGACCTTGTTCATACAAGGCAGGATGTTGTCTTCAAGTTAGTACCTCAAGGTTTGTAACTTTGCATACATTTTGGATAAATTACTTCCTTTCTTACTGTAAACTTTACAATGATTAGTGGGGACACGTGTTAACACGTTGTAGTAACCCACCATGGAAGGCCTAAAATTGCTGTCGAGTTAAAAACATTGTTTTATTTAAGCACAAGGTATCCAAGTAAGATTCCAAAAGTAATGAATGCACAGTTTCAGAAGTGCTAACACAACTCTACTATGTCATGCAAATGCTAAATATTGTTCTCTATAAACGTAAGCCAACTTTACTGTAATTAAATCAGTGTCATATGCTACGTTGCCAGAGTTTTTATACTGCTGTAGCATCTCAAGGATTGGCAAGATTGTAGCAGTACCATAAACTTTTTTTTTTGAGTTTTTAAAATTGAGGTCAGAGGATACAATGGAGGATGCTCCAGAAGGGCTATAAGAAAAAGGACTCTTACAATCAGCACACATTTCTTCCCCAATGTAAACAGGATAGTAATAATTCTCAATATCAGAAATCATTTTTTAAAAATTTTTATTAGATCATGATTTTTTGCCCCAATGAATGACACGGACAGCACAAGTGACTCCATGCAGGACTGTCACTGTGCTGGAGCTTGGCAAGCACTAGTTCCTTCACCACAAATAAGCTAAGAACCACCCCATTGGCTTCCAGGTAAACTCTTCCGCTCAGCCAAGTGTAACGGATCCAGCCATGCAGAGATATTCACACTCCTCTCTGAGTTTTCTAAAATGAGGTTGACAATTTTGCTGAGTCAGTCAGTCAATGTATTCTTAGCCTGTGCATTCAGAACTTTGCATGAGACACAAGATGCTCATTAAAAGTAAGAATATTCAGGGTGAAACTCAATTGCTTTAGAAATCCACTGGTGATATTGGGGTTCCTCCAAGTGCCCTTAACCAGTAAGCATTAATCAGCATAAAAATAGCCTCTACAATTCATTAAGAAAGGATGTTTATGAAGACGTTGTTGAGTGTATTAGTTCTTATTTTAGCTGTAATTTTAAATTGCTAACAGCTACTGCTTGGGAAAAAAAGGGTTTGCTTTATAAGGATTTTTATAAATAGCAGTTTTTAAATGGCAGAACTGTTTATAAATAAAGCTAAGTAAGATTTGAAAGGGTTATAATTAGCATTATATTTTACATAAATTATTATTTAATTTAATTAAGTGTTGACCAAAGGGTTTCCAGCCCTTACAAGCTTACAAGACACTGCACACGTGATCAAAACATAAATTCAAATCATATGCGGCATTGCAGCCCCTGCGGACATGAAATCATCTCTTTGTTCATGATCACAAGAATGTAAATCAGAGGATACATGCCTCCTAAAGTAGTTGATTTTTAAACCCTTGCAAAATGGGTACAGTAAACCTCGTTTTTTCACTCTGGTTTGAGTCACATAAAACATATAACTTGTCCTCTTCAGCGTCAGTATTGACGACTGCAATTGGACACATTCTCACATTTGTCCCTTGGTTAGATTGAAAGTAGAATATGACTTGAATAACAACTAATATGAGAAACAACTATTTGGTTTACAGTATAGTCTGTTTCCAAACATATTGTTAATATCCTCTTTTGCCCAAGCAAGGTTCATCCTTAATATTTAATAGTCCACCGTCCGGCATATTATACTACCATAGAGTAAATTCCTGTAGATTTACTTTATCATTACACTGATCATAAATCAGTGATACATCGATCATTTGATTATCCTCATTATTTTAAATAATAAATAAATGGCTGTGTTGTTTTGTTTCTTTGATATTGCTTTGCCTTGTCAGGGCAAATTCAGTTTGAAGACCAGCATGGGAAACATTTGCACAAATCATTTGATCATTTTGCTGTCACATGTATTGATATCAAGCACAGATTTGCTCACTTGACCCACAAAGTGTTATTTCTGTGACAGATTGGATTCATTTAATAGAAGGCTGAGCCACATTCAGCACACTCATGAGTTGTTTTAATATGTGCATTGACTGACAGAGATTGTTGGTAATTGTATGAAATTATTTTACTAGTTCTATATATTCTGATGCTATTGCTAGATAAATACTGCCCTTTTTCTGCAGCTCGTTGTCTTTGTGGCTCAGTCAGGTTCCTATGCAGAGTAGAAGTTAATCACAGGGGGAGCTGTTTTGAACCTGTATGAAAACATGCAAGATCAGCATGAGAGTGCAATGTCAATTCTAAACATCTGTGCAATATATTATGTGCTTTAATCATACAAAATGAAATACAACAGGGTTTTGAAAAAGATGTTGAATGCTCCACATTTTGTATTAAAATCCTATGCCGTATTTTTGTGGAATGTGTTGCAGTGCCTCGTGATGGATATTAGACCCACAGAGAAAATTGTTTGTTAAATGAATGACACGTGTGTGTTTCGCAATTTGATTATTTATTGAGTGACTGTATTTGTTATAGCTTCCGCTTTTTATTTTGTGAAATTTCTGAATCTGGCATGGAAAAGGCATGACAGCTGTCAAGGCTATAAACAATAAAGGACATATATGAATAAAAGGTAGCAAATTGTTTATTCAGTGGATGAAAACAGGGGGTGACAAGAGGTAGCAGAGTTTTGTATAAAACCTGGTATAACTGTATTACTAACCATTCTTGAATTTATTTTATTTTAAGTTCTCTTTTCGGTGCTTGTAGCTGACTAACACCAAAGGGTTGACTTGAAAAGTGTTCCCACGCTCATGAAAGATCACACTTCAGTCGTGATTGTATGATACTGTGACAGAATATTCACAGTTCAGGCTGAGGGCACGACCAACAATTATGTGTGTTTTCACCAGGGGACGACTCACATTTCAACCCCAAACAAAACTATTAACTGCTCCAAGTATTCTCTTGAGTATTTGGTATGAAGGCTTTATAAGGATGGGAAATTATCTCTGTAACATCTGTTACACATCTTCAGTCAGTCTTGTCATGCTCAGTATCCAAAGAAGGGAAAGGAACGCCTCCATCATCCAGCTATAAAGCATGAAGTCTTTCAGATTTGCTAACTGGAGTGGATCAGAAGTGGCGTGCAGCTTCAAGAGGATCTCTGAGGTGAGAAATGTTGTTGTAAGTTAATGTGGGCCAGTGGTAAGAGTTGACAGAGCATTTTCACAGAAGACATCCTGTCACAGTAGGAAAAGCCGAGGTGTAAATGATAAAATGAATGACGGCTGAATTCCATTTAAGTGCTTCTGTTTCAGGGTTGTGGTGTTGTGCATGCTGTCTCACTCTCACACTGTCGTGGCTTACTGGGACACAACAGAACAGAAGTAGTAACACCTTAGTAACACCTGTGCTTTTCCTTTTTTGACAAATCAAAATGTTTGCTGTGAAAAAGGCCAATTGCATATTAAATACGTTTTTTAACCACTTTCCAGATTCCTTCTGGCGTCAATCTACTCTGACCACTGCAGATGTCCAAAGCGAAAGCTGCACCCCCTCCTGGGTGCACTCTGAACATCAACGATCCTCAGGTCCAGGAGGCCGCTATCCGAATCCAAGCCTCATATCGCGGCCACAGGTACCAAAATATCCTGTGTCTTTTGGCATCTTTGACATTCAAGTATTCAAAGCATTCAAAGCATGTAATCATGCAGGTGTCAGTATGCCTTAAAGAAACTGCTCGTTGAGTCATTGAACAGCATCTGAAACTTCTTTGCACCTATCCGACACTGGGAGTGGGGGGGGGGTTAAGTCAGAAAACTTACGGACAATCCGACAAACACACCCACTGAACAGAGTGATTGGCCAGCTGTGCGGAGGTCTGAAAGTATGGAGGATTTTAAATTGTCTTTCATGTTCTTTATCTACATTTTTTACACAACTACATCTGTGTGTGGATACAACATAATAAATACTTTAAAGGAGATATTTGAAAGAGTGTGTGTGGTTATTATTGAATTAATTGTGAATTCTTATATTACTTTGTTTGTCATGTAGGTCGCGTAAAGAGCTGCGGGAGAAAGGCCCTCCCAAGATCCTGCAGGAGCTCAAAGATGTGGTTCTTGTTGAGGGCAGCGCAGCGAAGCTGGAGTGCAGAGTTAGCGCTTTCCCGGATCCTTTCATCGTCTGGTACAAGGATGGCAAAGAGCTGAAGGATGGTCCCAAATACCGTTATGTTTTTGAAGACCCAGATTTTGTGGCGCTCGTGGTCCGTGACGGGGTTCTGGCTGATCTTGGAAAATACACTGTTAACATTAAAAATCCGTTTGGACAGACGTCTGGATCTGCCTGCATTCTAGTGGAAGGTGTGTACACATTGTTAGCAAGCTGACATCTGTTGGTTCTAAACTTTACAGTGTGCATGAACCTAAGTTTAGTTAATTCAGCATGGTTGAGTGAATAAGAATTTAATCAGACATCTTAAAGGAATAGTTCAACATTTTGTGAAATGAGTTTTTGTTACCTTTGTTATGTTTTTCAGCCAGCGAATCGAAATGCAATCTGGGTGTAGACTTACATTTACAGGGAAGATTTGGGCGTAGAAATGACAATCTCATCTTATTCTTAGAAAGAACTATATCCCAAAATGTCTACAATGTCTACTATAAGACCGAAACTCATCAGACATGTCTGATGCCAAGGCTTCCTCCTACTCAGTTCCTTTAGTGATAACTAGTGTATCCTGTAGAACTTTCTAGATCTTTGAGGCTATTTCCAACAGCACTTGAAATCTCCTACAAATAATGCGGCTGACGGAGTATTTGCATCACGCTTTCCCAGTCCCTGCTAAGGTTTCTAAAGGCCCAGACAACATTAAGGCCAAAAGAGGGACAACCGTGGTGCTCAAGGCTGAAATAAGTGGGGAGCCTCCTCCAGATGTTGCCTGGCTCAAAGATGGAGATGATATTGAAGAAGACGACAGGTAGGCTCTCATGGAGACACTTAATTTTTATTTATATTTTAACAATGCTTTTTCAGGATATGTGTACATGTAGAAATGGTGTGCATTGCATTTTTCAGGAACACACTTATGAATGTAAACTGTAAATTGATTCATATAGTAAAACGAGGAGAAATGAGCAGTTTATACTTGTTACCTGTTGTCAATGTGCTAATCTGCCTTGAACTAATGCCACCAGGCCCACACGCCATCCGATAACTGTAGATTGTAAATTAAGTGATTAGGATCCTAATTCTAGGGAAATTTTCTATAACAAAAAGTGATAATGAATGTGCTACCATTGTCTTTCAGGGTGTTCTTCGACGTTGGAGACACCAACACGATCTTGACCATCAAAAGTGCAAAGTTGTGTGATGCTGGCAAGTATGAGGTGTTTGTGGAGAACAATCTGGGCACAGACCAGTCCTCCGCTCGTGTCGACATCCTCTGATGCGACATCTCAACTGCACCGAAGCTAACGCAGGGAGCCTTTGTTTTCTTAGAGTGCAATCGAATGGACAATATACTGTAGTAATGCTGTGTTCTCAGCTGTACATAACTTCAATCATGTTCATAAAAAAAGTAAAGACTTTTTTGCTAGCAGCTTTTTTTTTGAGTGTTATTTTTTTAATGATCTACTGTTGATTGGAGGGTAATGCATCTGTATTGTGAGACGACTACAAAGTGCAATATTTGTTTCTAAAAAGTAGATTTTTACAATGAAAAAGACATAATAATAATAAAATATTAACCATCCTGATATTTGACATTAAGATGAGTTACATATGAGAGATATGTTTAAAATGGTACCCATACTGTTGTTTTATTAACTGTAATTTATTATTCATTTGTACAATTTCTCCTGTCCTGGTCTATAATGACAGCCAAGTCCTAGATTTGCAAAAGCCAGCTGAAAGACGGGGAAGTAAATTACATTTACATTTATTCATTTAGCTGACGCTTTTATCCAAAGTGACTTACAATTGCTATATACTGTATCAGAGGTCGCACGACTCTGGAGCAGCTAGGGGTTAAGTGTCAACCACAGATATGAAATAATTTTGTATTTTGGCAGAGCAGGTAGACATGAATGATAGTGTACAGTCCAGCAGCATCTAGCTGTCATCTGAGGAATTACAGCTTCATGTACACCACTGAGAAAGTCTATCCCCATCCTTGTCTCAGGTTGCATAATATTAATGGCAAGCAGTGAAAAACAAAGATCAACGTTTCCTTCTCACATTCACGTAAGAGATGCAAAACTATCCAGTATTTCACACAGATGCATACAAAGAAAAGAGAAAATTATGAAAGAATAAAAATAATTTGTACGGCAGAAATGTTTTTTGTTTTCTCTTTAGTTATTTTGCAACCCCACTTTTACTCATTTCCTATCAAAATGCCTTTTGTTAATGGGACATGTAGGGCTTTTTCTAATTAAATAAAAGGCCAGATCAATGCTGGACTAGTCCTCTGTGAGTAATTGTCTTCTCTGTCGATTTCACGACGCAATCGCAGCCATAAAAAATTAGGCCTAAAATTTCAAAAGCATCCTTGTTTACATGGGGGAGGAGTCTTTGTGGAGATTTTTCGACGTTCCTTTGATCTTAGGTGTGGGCATTTTAAAGACTGCCCCTAACTCGGTCGGTTTCAAGGCTGCCCCAGTCAAAAAATCAAATCAAAGCTCTACATTAACTAATATTTAAAACACTCCCCGTCCAAGGATCCTCTCACTCAGACGCTAGAAACCCGACATATTGTGTTTATCAACACGAAAAGTATGAAAGATGGTGGTTTTATACATGATTTAGCGTTTATATTCGGGGGAATTAACACTCAAATACAAACACCAGAAGCGTATTTTTAAATTTCCACATTTCCCCAGCAACAATATAACTACACGAGTAAACTGTTACACGTGCAGTGAAACTTTGTGAAAAGCTTCACATCCTGCATTGTGGCTTTAAGAGTGGGGTTTCCTTGAAACCGTCATGTTCCATGTTAGCATGGTCAAATTGATGAACTTCTTCAACGTTGCAACTTTTAGAAATAACTTTTTACACACTTTTAACCTCTGCATTTGAGAGTAGTTTGGTCCGATATGACACTGCTTTGAACGCTTTTCTGCTGTTTCTTTATTTTTACGCTCAGTATGCACGTTTGCAGACAGGGAGTGGCAAAATATAAATATTTTTTTTGCGTGTGCCATAACTCCTCGAACTCGTTTCCTACAGCGAAAACGTCCTTGTCTTTGAGTGACGGACCTAATGGACCATTCGCCGTCGATAATCACGCAAGTAACCAAAGACGAGGAGGAAAATGCGACTTGTCGTGAGGAAGGTGAGTTTGGGAAAAGTTTTGTGAACTTTTCAGCTGCGCATGACACTGTCAGCGAGGCACGAGACCGCGGTGTTACAAGGCGCCACGGTGTCACAAACGCTACTGTAGAAAGAAAGAAAGAGCTTTAATAGTGTCTTTTTCTTCCGAGAGACTTGGATATGGCGTTGAATGGCATTGTTGTGAACGTTTTCGCTAGTTTTTAATACTTTTGAGGACCGTTGCCTTTTGGGATATAGGCCCTAGCCATGGGCAGCGGCTTATGAGTTTTAAACAAAGTACAAAGATAGGAATGTGGATTTAAACGACTATGTGAAGCAGAAAAGTCGCTAATTTAACAAGCTGACATATATTAGTCGGCAGCATTTTGTGCAACGACAGTGTGCGTAAAAAACCATCTGAAATAATGTCTTGTCAGAAGGGGGCGGGGTCACCTCGACAGCTCACTGTTATTGTTTTGTACTTAGATATTGAGCTGCTTCGCTTTATTCCTTCAGGTGGTCTCAAGAAGGCATTTTCTTTTTCGTATAATAGCACTCAAATGGACATTACTGACTGTTCACATCTTAGGTGCACTATAGGTTGCCCTTTAGATTTGCCAGCACTGGGCTTAAAGGTGCTTCCTGAATGTTTGGCATATTCAAGCGCTCACAGATATAGACAGTCTGTTATTCTTACAGAAGGACTGTCCCCCTAACCAGTATAAGTAGGTCTGGACTCACAGGGTCAGGCATCAGAGAAGTATAGGCCTAAAACCTGTGATGACCGTTTTATATAGACTATGGGTGAATGTGAAATTTGAAGTGTTCCCAGATTCCCAACATGATCAGTTCGTGCTTTAATATGTATCAATAAACCCATACATTCATCTCCTCCCCGTAAAATGTCCCCTATTCCTCTGCTCAGCTGGAGCAGCCTCACTTGCATCATAAAATGAAATGGTACCTTGTGGCAGTACAATCTTCTGTGTGGCCTTTTGGACTCACTAAAACTATTAAAAACGCAGAAAAGCTTAAATATGACATCCTTTAGTTTTATTATTTTCTTCAGTCCATCAAAAATGAAAAAATAGACAAGTGTTGCTCACAGATAACAACATCTCCTATGGTTCCTGTCTGAGCTTAAAAATTAATGCAGGGATTCCAAAGTGTATTTCAGTGATTTGGATTCAGTTTGATCACCAAACGGAGAGAATGCATAGTTTCAGTAAAATGATGTTAGTCTTGCCAAATGTTTTATAGTTACAATCAACAGCTCACTTAAATAATCTACATGCCATACACAGGCCTTGACATGAGCCAGCCTAAATTGTACAAGGTCAGTTTTCAAAACAAGATACAGTAACTGCAGCAATGGTTTAGATGATGATGTTGTCAGATTTGGTATTTTGATTCTGACAGGTAAAATATTGATCCAGAGTGAAGCGAGTGAGTGATGTTTTTGTTCAGCCGTTACAATCAAGATGCCTTTGAGCAAGGCACTAAACAATGGGCTGCTAATGCTTCCGTGACAAATACCATGATAAAGGGTGAATAACGACACAACTATTGTAATGAAGACCAGCTGGTTTCCCAGAGCCGACATCCCAGCTCCAGACAACGATACTCACAACTCTCCTGCTACTATAGCCACCATCACAACAACAGCACGTCTTGGCCAATTGTCTATGGATTAGAATCGCGTACCCCACCTTTAATGCTACTTAGTGGCCAACAGGTGGTAGGTGTACTGGGCTGTGCCCGTGTGCGAAACATGCTTTGGGCTTTGAATGGCTGCTGTTTTTCTAAGTTCTAGCCTAATGCTGACTAAATGCTTATTATGCATGGCATTGCCTAGTAAGATTTTTTCATCAGGAAGTAGGCCTGAAGGCTGGTCGGGTGGGTCCCGGAACCATCCTGAAAAACAATTTGGAGCACAGTGCAAAGGATGCTGGAATAAGTAAGTATTATGTGCAGGTGTTATGCAGTTTAGGTAGATGGATTGGTATACAGTGTATATACAATATGATAATATGAACAGTTCTGAAATGGAGAACGAGAGAATGATGAATAAATGATAAGTGGTAGCCAGTAAACAGGTGGCTGATTAGAGGCAGAGTTACTGGGTTATTGCACAGAAATTGTTCCTGACACTGTTCATCAGAGTTAGCTGTTCATCAGAGTGATGACTTGAGGGAAGAAACTTTTCCTGAGTCTGTTGGTTGTGGAGTACAGAGCTCTGTAGCGCCTACCAGAGGGGAGGAGCTGGAACAGGTTGTGTCCGGGCTGAGATGGATCTGCAGTGATGTTTCCTGAAGTCCTGAATGGAGGGCAGGTTGGCACGATGATCTTTTTTGCAGTCCTGACTGTCCGTTGTAGTCTGCTCCGGTTCTTTTTGGTCCAAACCAGACAATGATGGACATGCAGAGAACCGGATGTTGGCTGTGTAGAGGTGGATCAGCAGCTCCTTAGGCAGGTTGAGCTTCCTGAGCTGGTGCAGGAAGTATGTGAGACTAACATTATTATTTAATGATAATTCATAATATTTTTTAAAAGTCTACCTGACCTCTAGTCTGCTGTGCTCCCATTCAGACTGTACTGAATGAGACAAGTGCACTGCCCTTCATCGGAGATACAAACAGGAACCAAAACCAACACTTGTGATCAGGCAGAAATCTCAGCACAAATCCACATGTTTACTTCTGCAGCTCTAATAAAGTGAAGCTCACAGTCCCAAACAAATCCAGATTGTGTTTTAGGTTTTAGATGTTTATAATGCAAAAATCTACCAGCGGGTCTGCTGGCCGCATCTCAGGTGGTTACTTTACTATAACGCCGTGTGTCGAGTTGCATCAGCTGGGTGGAAATGATTGTCGCCGCTAGTCGACGTTATCAGAATATAGATTTGTTTTTCACTGCGTGAGAAGATTGATGTGTGGCGCTCAAAGCGTGAGGGTTAGCCTACACAGCGCGATTGAGAGGTCAGCAAGTTTGTGACTGAGAGGATAGATGGTCGAGTACCGCGGGAACAGCTGAGCAAACAGCGTTCTTCTCCCAGGGCCTGGGAGTGAGGCAGGGAAGCAATCTCAGTCCAATTCTCTTCAATCTATATATCAATGAATTAGCAAACCAATTAGAGCTTTCCACAGCACCTGGCCTCACACTGAACAACGCAGAGATCAGAAGTCTGCTGTATGCAGATGACTTAGTGTTGCTTTCACCTACTAAAGAAGGTTTGCAGCAGCACCTTAATCTCCTGCAGAGATTTTGTCAGACCTGGGCTCTGACAGTAAACACAGCAAAGACTAAGATAATGATCTTTTAGAAACAATACAGAAATCAGTTATCACTCAATTTCTATTTAGACACCACTAAATTACAACATACAAAAAAAACAAAAAGTCCCCAACGGCCTCAGGACAGCAACACCAAGTCAAGCAGACCAAACCAAATTATCAACAAGCAAAAATAAAAATATACTGAATACTGGAAAGAAACGACCAAAACACAAAGTAAATTACAATGTTACAGAGCTGGCTACCACAAGACGAGAGACTCTGCTTCCAGTGTGACAGGGGACAGGTAGAGCCAGAGCTACACTTTCTAACCTCATGCCCTAAATATAAAACACAAAGACAAAAACATTTCCCAAATATACCCCGAATTCAAATTCATATCAGGCACACAAAATCCTCTATTTACTGGGAGAAATGCCCAAATGTGAAATAATTGCTGCAAAATATATCTCATCGTGTCATGAACTGAGGACAACAATATTGTTGCATACGTTCATGCAAATAAGGCTAATTTGAATTTGAGAGGGACGAGCGAGAGGATGTGCTGCGCGAATGCACTACGGCGCTGATCTGCAATCAATACAATACAATTTTAAAAGGCTTAGTAAAAAAAATCAAAAATCAATCTGTGGTGGTCAGCGTTGATATTGCGGCGGGCCGCCACAACTAAATGAACGGATGGGAAACACTGTAGTGACTGTAGTAACCGCACGAGAAGACGCGCTGTGTTGTAGTCAGCACTCGGCCGGTTCAGTTTGTCATTAGCTAAGTGACACACAATCCCTTTCGTCCTAGAGGATATTTCTCTATCGTCCTCAGGACGACAGGATGCGTTAGTCTCAAGCTCTGTGGTTACGACTGTCTCATTACAGACTGTGCTTACCTGGGTTTTATTTGTGGCTTGGCTTGACTTCCTCACACACTAAAAGACATACGTTGAACATGAAGAATTCTCCTATAACTTCTCTTGACCAAGGCCCTGGCATCAGAACGACAGTTGGCTGCTGGTTGCCCTGGTTTAACAGGGATCAATAAATGTACATCTTTATAATATTAAACATATCTTGAGGACTTCTAGAATTACTTCACCTTCAGTAATGAAGTGATTGGAAATTTATATGTGACAGTTTCATAATAGTTTTGTATTGTTTGTCAGTCTTTACCTTAGTTTTAACCTTAGTTTTAAGTTCTTTGACTTAAATCTTGAAGAGATGAAGATGGTGAACTTTATTTGTCCTTGTCATGGAAATCACTAATCCCTTTAGAAGAGTTTGATGATGGAATGAAAAATGACAATTTAAGATTAGACTGATTGTCGGGCTTCTGGATTTGTTATTAAATGTTTTATCGTACCACCCAGTGGTGTGATTTGGTGCACAGTCCATGTGCTGTGGCATTCCCCTTATCAATCCAATCCAAATGAACTGATATAATTGGAATAAATGTATTAATTAAATGATTTAGCTGCAACTAAACAGAATTATGGGCTGTAGCATGTACTGTAGGGAAGCAGAATGGAGAAAGAAATCCAGCCAGTGCTCAAATGAAAAGCTGAGTCCGGCCTCATGATGGCAGTATAGTCCAGTGTACTGGTACAAGACAACTCCAGCCTGCTCTCGGATTACTTCCTCCTGGCCAAGAGGTCATGAGTTCAAAACATGGCTGCTATCCAGGAGAGAGGGGCCAGAGAGAAAGGAAAGGGGGAGCTGTCTTCAGACCTTCTTTAGTT